CACTGACCGTAGTTCAAGACGAAGGATGAAAGATGAGTTTATAGGCAAAAGCTTCATCCGGGAGAGAGTGAGAAGAGCGCGAGGTGACTCAGTCGGATCCAGAAAGAATTGATTGGCGCTCTCCGTGTGGTGGACTCGGCCGGGTGGAGACGGGGGGTGAGAGACGGTGGGTATGTGGGAGGCGTGTGGTGAGCCGAGTGGGTATGTAATGCGGGGACGGGACACGGTGAGCAGGTAGGAGGTGACACGGAGAGAGATCTCAGTGTAGGGCAAGAGGTCCGTGAATGCAGGCCGATCTGCTCGGTGGCTGTGTGAACTCCATCCAGGGGTCTCACGTATAGTAGGATATCCCAGTATAGAAAGGTTGAGATGGAGTCAGCGACTCGCGCTCAGAGTGTGATGGTGGGTGTAGTACCATTTGACGGCGGATATGTAGTAGCTGTTGAGGGAATAGTGTCTGTGTGTCTCGTTGCGGCTGTGCGTGCAGAGTCGATCAGTAGATAGGTGGTCAGTGTGGGCGGTGGTGGAAGCAGATGTATAGTCAGTTGTTGTTGTAGTGGTGGAACGGTGTCGGGCGCCTGTAGTCCTCAGGAGAACTATCGATTGTAGTGTGTCTGAATCTCGTTTAGATAAGCCTCGCTAAGGGAGGTTTAAGCATAGTTACAGTGTCTCGACACCGGAATAAATTTAGGCTGGTATAGCAGAGGGTCGAAGGAGGATGGCGGTGGGACGTCGGGGGAAGCTATAGCGGTGCGCGTGGAGGCCCCCAAAGCCGTCTAACGCTGTGAACACAACTGTGATGACCGATGGAAGCTCCTAGTTTTGTCCTAGAGACCGGTGTCGTTTTGCTGGTTGTATTGAACAGTGTGGGGGAGGAGGTATTCGTGCAGAGACCTAGGCCGGAGTAGTGCTCAGTTCACGGTAGGAAGGTGAGCGGAGGCGTAATTTGTTTGAGTCTTAATGGACGTAGGAAAGACACCACAAGGAAACCTGTCGGGGTTCTACCTAATGATAACAAAGCTAAGTATATATTTCAGGAGCAACTAGGAAAACAGTTAAGCGGCCATGTAAGCGATTCCCATCCGGAGGCAGCTTGGAATGATACCAAAAAAGCTGTGAAAACAGCATTAATATGTGCTATTAAGGTAAACCATATGGCTAAGGAGAAGCCATGGATCTCAGTAGCATCCGCCGAAATGATGGATACTCGAAAACTCATCCCACCTGGATGTGAACATGATTAAGAGTTAAGTCAGCTTAGGCGTAGGCTGATAAAAAGCCTTCGCAATGACCGAGAACAGTGGTGGGTAGAGAAAGCAACGGAGATGGAAAAGACAGCAGCGATAGGGAACAGTAGCCAACTATTCAGACTCATCAAGGAAACTGGTATTAGGAATCGGAATGTGAGTGAAACTATCTTTGAAAAGGATGGGACTACTATTCATTCTCAATCCAGGATATTAGATCTATGGACAGAACACTTTAGGGATCAGTTCAAATGGCTTTCAGCCACACTTCGGTTACTCACGATCTCCAGTCATCCTGAATGGCAAGTCGACGCAAGCCATCCTAGTCTTTATGAAGTTGAAACATCTATAGGAAATCTGAAGCAAGGGAGAGCAGCAGGATCTAATAGATTTACCCCTGAGATTTTTAAGGATGGTGGTCCAGTTTTAGCAGTTAGATTGACTGAGATTTTAGGTAGAAAGGACAAAAGTCCTCTTGTGGCAATCACAGAGGAATCCGTTTAACTAATATAGCGTCTACAATGTTAGCCTCGATAATACGTAGACTCCTAACTAGTGCCCTTGAAGAGTAGACTCGAAAAAACCAGGCTGGTTTTCGACCAGGACGTGGCTACGCTATGACAGGTCTTGGAACACATACACACACTTGGGCGTCCTACAATAGTCATCTTCCTGGACCTTAAGGCGGCATGATAACGAAAAGCATATAAATAAAGCGAAGCGAAGTGGATAAGGCGATTGAGCCAACTCCTTTTGATGAAGCATGACTAAGAATTTGTAGTCAGAAAAAAATAAGCCAGACATGTAACAAGCCAGATAAGCGTGCACACACAAATAAAAGAAACACAGATATGAGTGAGTGACTGACAGGATCAAAAGACAAGTGGGACGAGCCCTGTGAGCTAGACATGAAAGCACCCATTTCAAGTGGACCTTCTACCAGGAGATTCGCCTGTATACTTAGAATATGCCGATGGCATAATTCTATTCGGCGAAGACGCTGACAAAATGCAAAGTCTTCCGACCACCCGAAGCAACAATGCAAGCATGTTCGGGATGCGATTCTCCCTCTCAAAATGCAAAATGCTGCCTCGAGATTAGCTTGTATCGGCATCTGAACTAGTGATAGGGAGTGAAGTAGTTGAGCTTGAGTCTCATCAGTGCTGATGTCTGACGAAATCTCAACACGGATACATAAGGCTCGACTGGCTTTTGCTCACTTGGGTCAATTATGGCGTACACCAGATGTTTGTCTGCTAACCAAGGGGACGAATCTGCTGAGCAGCAGTTCGCTCCGTCCTACTATATGGGTGCGAAGCATGTTCAGTAAGAGTAGAAGATATGCATAGGTTACATCAAGGTAACATTTACGTTCGAAATTATCGAGTCTTCGAATCAAAATAATTTAATTCTTACTTTTTATTCTAGTTAATCATGAATATTATGATTATTATGATTTCTTAAATTGTACCTAATTTCAAAAAACTTATCGATGCATCAATCAAAAATTAATATAAGTTTTCACTTTTTTGTCGCTCTTATTTGTTTTTCTGTTTACCTATTATACTTCATTGTAAACGTATGCAAGATGTTCAAAATTTTTTTTAAAATTTATAACTCAATAATGTTAGGAATAACAATAAGTATTTAAATGTTTTGTTTCCCGCCAATAAAAACAAACAATTTTATCATGTTTTTTTCTCTTAATAGATAGATTTAAAAATACAAATTGATGGTTTACACGACAAATTAACTACTTTAAAACAAAACAGAATTTCTCTTTGTGATCAATATAAACACAATAAAAAGGTATACGCCTAATTGTTTTCGCGTGTTTTCTTTTCTTTTCTTCTCTGACAAATTTCAATAATTTTTGGCGTTTTTTCTCTTAACAGCAATGATACGTTGTATCATTGATAATATAAATATATATTATTTAGTGAAAGATACTGAAAATGACAGAAGCAATGTTAATGACAGATTGTGTAGTATGTATGTTAAGTAATACTTATTGTTTTATAATTTTATAGTCAGAATTAGATGACAGGATATTGAAATTTGATTTGTTAGGTTTATTTCCCTGAATAAATTCGATTAATGAGACAGACATTCTCCTTAGTTGAGTTGGAGGCAAATCAGTAAATGTATGAAACGCAAATATGAAATATCGATATGTGTATTTGATTTTGAATTGTATGTTTTGTATGATGGTGAATGACTCTACTCAAATTTTACTGATATTGTATTCTATAACTTAGATGGTTTAGTTGTTACTCATTGATTTTCCCTCTGGATAACACTATCAACGACTATTCTATGTAGAAGTGAACCTTATTTTCGACGATATCATTTTCTGAAGCTGTACAATTGTATCTATACGTCATTTTCCATGCAAAAGTTCTATTTACTAACATTTACGGTTGACCTCCGACCATTTGATTGATTGATTGATTGACCATGTCTGTATGGGTTGATATATCTCATCTATGTCACTATATTCATTAATTGCTAGTTCATATGAATGTTATACTTCAAAGAATGCATGTTTATGATTTGCTCTCTGTATTGATATCAATAATAAGATACCAACCATGTCGCTTAACTCCCAATCTATGTTCATATATGTGTAGATAATTGAGGCACCGATTTTGTTCAGTGTACTGTTTATTACATTTGATGTAATTCATTTTGTAGATGCAGTTACATTTAACTTCTAATTTGACATTTGTGGAATAATTGAAAAGTTTACTCATATAGAGGTGTCTAGAATGACAATCATAGCTTCATCATTAAATCATGTCTGAGGATAGGATACCATAGAAATCTTTTTGACCTCCAAAATTTATGTTATTGAAATTGAGTGAAGGTTGAATTATTTGATGATATTATTATACTGTAAACTATAATTCACTATTTAAATAATTTTAATCCGAATTAAGAATTTTTTTTAGTCGGTTGATAGTATTTGTTTTTTTATCCAATGAGAAGATAAATATCTTTCTCATTTCTTTGTCATTTATTCTTACTTGAAAAGGATCCAGATGAAATTAAAGCAAGTGCACGTGCTCTACGAAATGAACAAAAATCGTTAGAGGTTTGTTGCTTATTGTTTATTGCACTTCATAAATTTGTACAATCAATAATTATTCAATGAATGGTATGTTTAATTGTTGTTTTCGCACTTCTAATGTTGACATTCAGTTTGTTATTTTTAGGATTAGAGACTATCATGACCAATTCAACTGTGAATATTTCCAACTTGATAGTTTTCAAATTTTCACATTGTATCGCTTATTCCGTTGATAAGAACTCTTTGGTTGAATTGCGTTGAATTCGAAGTAGGGCTCTCACTATTTTAGTGGCCCGTGTTGATTATGTACTTTCGGACAGTCGAATCTACCCTTTAATCTCCGTATATCATACTTAGACGAACCCCGTTTATGCGGCGGCGGTAATACAGATTCGTTTGGATGAGTTTATTTCAAGCAATAGTTTATGCATTCATTTAAGCAGTCAGACGAGAATAAAAAGCACACAAGCAAAGCGAAGCGGAGAAGGCCGACCAGCCAACTCAATATAATGAATTATAACTAAGCATTTATAGTCAGATAAAAGAAGCTAGATATCCGGTAGGCCGGTACAAACATCAGAATAAAAACAACCAAGATATGAACGAATAATTGACAAGATCAAAAGACAAGTGAATAATAATTCGTGAAGAATGAATTAGTTAGTTTGCTTGACGGGTGGACATAAAAGTACATGCACTTCAAATCATATTTGTTATTAACGGTGTTGCTTTTTGAATGATTTTCAAATTTATACTCGTTTTTATAGTAGAGACATTTTGAATAAAATACTACTATTAAATATCTTATTTGTTTGGAATCATTGAGTTAGTAATTCTGAAGTTAGGCAGGCTCAAGTAAAGATGGGAAATCAATTGATGAGATAGTAGTTGGTTGGATCACTTATTACACATGCACATTCAATGTCTATACTGATAGATAATGCTTTCTGGTGAAGTAGTAGTTTGTAAAACAGCTAAAGGTAACCAAGTTCAAACGTAGTGTCAGTCACTGATTGTTGAATTGAGTTGTGCAGATAGGTGAAGACTACCTGGTTGAGGCCTAGGCGTACTTATACGAAGTACGAAATTTTCTTTATCATTTTGAAGAAAGTAAGAACCAAGATTTGAGTAGAATAACATGAATTCGTTTTATTTCGTTTGATTATCGTCAGCTGCTTACAACCTGTACTATTAGAAGTGAATTACTCACATGAATGAGTTTAATTGGAAGTTGTTACAATCATGAATCATTTAGTTCAGTAAATTAATTTCTATATAAACTACTTAATACTATTTTTTGGGGGAGTATCGATCACTTCATTCAATCATCGGTGACTTTTTCCTATTTTATTTTTAATTTTATCTTTACGTTCATATTTTCAGATGTCATTTAAAAAATTGAATTATGAATTTCGAAAAGAATCAATTCACTTACCCAATATTATACATTCATTAACTGTAAGTTTATTTTAATGTATGGCAGTTAGTAGTAGTGGTTAAGTGAATTCCAGTTGTAAATATTTCATTCTATGAATTGTAGTTGATTTTTTTGATACAGTTAGTTGACTACATTCTCTATCCTTGTCTTTTTTTTAATTCTCTGTATATTTCTACATCAAAATAAGTAGTTGATTGTTGTTTTATACTTTTCATCTTTCTATTGTTTTCTTTTTCCTTATAACTTTTAATTCTAACTACTCACTTCCTAATAACATGAAGGTTATTATTTCTTCATTTACTTACTTACTTACTTACTTACTAACGCCTGTCACCCCCAATGTAGCATAGGGCGCCTATCAGTATTCTCTAACCTACTTTGTCCTGGGCTTCCCTTTCCAGTTCTGTTCAATTTTTGTTCATTCTTCTCATGTTTCTCTATTTCTACGGGATTGGGGCGCCAACCCTAAACCCAACCCTCCATCTTTATCCGGGCTTGGGACCGGCAGTAGCCCCAGAGGGGCTCCATGTGGAGTTAATTTCTACTTTATATATATGTGTGTAGTTATGTATGTGGTTAGTATTTGATTCTTTTTATTTACTTAAAAGAATCCATTATTAGATAGATGTTAATGATGTTGTTGTTTTCTTTAAGAGTAAACTAGTTGAACTCAGTCAGTCAGTTACAAAGTAGAACTTCATATGTAAGTACACCAGTTCAGGTTGCCATACCACATTAGCAAAGAGACGCGATTGTCAGTTCAAATCCCATATTGGTAGCGATAGTAGAAGTATTACTGGTTATGGAGAAGATTAGGGTTCTAAGATATTATTCAAGAAGTATAATTCAGTGAGATAAGTTTAGAAAGGGAAAGGTAGAGGCGATTACGAATTCAACGAGTGGATGCACCTGTGTTATTTCAATCGATTTTGAGCCATGTCGTCCAAGGTCTCTAACCATCGGTTACTGTCGTTTCGCGGACCCTTACCAGGTAGTCTGCATCTACCTACATGGCTCAGTCCGCTTGTCAGTGACTTCATGAATTTGTGCCATGTTTTGGTTTGGTCGCCCCTAACTTTTTTCCACCCTACTCCTACACCACAAAACAGCTCGACGAGGCAGTCGTTGGGCATTCGTAACATATGTCCCAACCACCTCCATTGATGAAGTTTCTGTACTTCATCTATTGATTTGTCATCCTTACCTAATACTCGTCTCCTAACAACAGCATTGCCTACTTGGTTTTCATCATAATTATTTAAATCACCCATCTGCAAAATCTTTTTTCAAGTCTTTAATAAACCAATGTAAATATAATACTTTTATATCTTCGTTTGATATCGGCGTATTCATAGTTTCATAAATCCATTAAGACTACTTTCATATTTCGTACGATATTCAGTGGCTGGAAATTTCGTTCCACACTTCAAAATAATATTTTTATAGAATTTATTCCTTTCTTAGTGTATATTGAGTTGCTAAGACACTTTGTAAGAGTTTTAGCTGTGGCAATTAAGCGAAATGAAAAGGTGTCTAATCAGTATTATCAGTGTTCGAATAAATTAAACATTAAAAATGAATATTCCAAAGGGATTAATGCAATAGCTGAGCTAAAAAGTATGGTAGGATATTAATATTTAGGGTATATAGAAATATACAGGACAAATACATTTGTACTATTTTGATCGATTTCTATGGTTTTCGTCTAATGTCTCAAATCATAGGTTTCAGCCAGTAAGTATACATTCCCTCTCCTAACTCTATCGCTCTTAGTTGCACTAAGATTTAATCCCATACTCATCTGCACACCGTATTGAGCGAGATGGTGACTGGTTATGCATAAGTCATTTCGAGTTCCTTTAAGTCGTAGAAGCTATGTGGCCTCATTAATTTACTTACCATTCTTAACTGCCGCCATGCTCCCGTCTCCATCATTACCCATTTACTACGTCCAACATTTTCATACAATGTTCTGAAAGTAGGTAATAATAAAACACTAGAGAACCTTTACATGTCAAGGCTATGCTTTGCAGTCATTCAGAAACATGTAACACTTCATTTGTTTCCTGTCCAGCTGATTTTTGGATGAATGAAAGAAAGCAATCCAGTCAACCATTGGTTAACAGAAAGAAAATTTCTTTTTGAGCTTTATATTTTGACCTCTAATGATTTTAATATTCAGGTAATGTGTCTGAATTAACTGCAATTAAAAAATTCAACTACGTTTTCTTTTTCCTTTATTTTCATTTATTGATCTTATTCTTGTTGTGATTGTTATCGGGACGTCGCATGGCTGGGCGGCGAAAAATTCATACGTATATTATTATTATTATTATTATCATTCAAATCTCTACGTTTGTGTAAAAGCCTATCGATACAATGAAGTCACAAAATGCAATAAAATCATATCATAAAAACATCTGTGCCAGTAAAAATATACTTTGGTCTAATCTAACAAATGATAATTACAATGAGTAAGTTGAATGATGATGACTACGTAATACCAATGTATCATATTATTTATAAATAATAATTTCCAGATGTATTTATTCATTATTTTGTACTGTCTGTTTACTTCGCTTATTACTTATTCCCCTTACCTTACCATATTTCAGATCAACCAATACATAGTGATAGGAAGTATATAAAGAAGAGGTATGATGGGGGCTAATTTTATTATGTCAAGATTTATCAATAACAGAAAATTCTATATCCTAAGATGAAGATAACGATCGTTGGCTTTGATCGCATGTACTAATTTGCATTATACTACTATTAGATAAGTAGAAATCTCACTTGTATGGTCTTAAGAGAGCTATTGTTTTCAGGTTACCATGCTGCTGCTGTAAATCTCATCCATGCCTTTCAGTATATGGTGTTTAGTATACTGCATAAACTGAGATTTTATACTGTAAAATTTGTATATGCGAATACAATGTGTTGATGTTTTCATCAGTTAGCTTTTTCAGCCCTCAAATATGTTGATACGGCTGGGAGTAGGTAGAGTCCGCTGTAACTCTCTCAGAATGCTCTCATATGGCCATGCGTATATAGCCACTGCTAAGAAAGTCTTACCCATTTCTTACTTGTGTTGTTTACGAAATTGAGAGCGTGAAAAGCGAACGTCTGGTGCCTCAACCGCGTTGGACGATGTCGAGGATTCACCTAAGAGAGCCGGTAAACCTTGGTTCCAAACCAAAGAATACACATGTGTTCCACAATCCGTGTGTCTGAGTAGTATCCCAGCACACAAACAAATCAATTGATGTGTGGCACATATTTATATATCTCTTTGTATCAATGTTCATGTGTATAAATAGATAAAAAATTCTTACAAGTTAGTCTATACCACTAGTTCAATATCAGTATTAATTAATTATTGAAGGCTGGTCAATGCTAAATAATCATCTGTTATAATTTATGTTCATGTTTAAGTTACTCGCTCATTTACGCCTGTTACCCCTAATGGGACAGAGGACGCCCACCAGCGAAATTTTTTCTGGTTAGCGTTTTTTAGCGAGTTGGATTTCTGCGCGATGGGGTCCCTAACCCCATGCCCAACTTTCCACCTTTATCCGGGCTTAGGACCGGCAGTAACCCTAGAAGGGTTTTAGGTGGAGTTCAGGTTTAAGTTAGTCGACTTAATTGTTAGCTAAAGAGGTCAAACCTTTTTGGTTTCTCTGATAAACCATGGAATCACAAGAATTATGTTTTAGTGCTATGAAACGTAATAATATGGGCTTTAGTACCTATTCTCCATGAAACTGTAGCCCAGGGAACCTCATTAATATCTTGCAGACTGTATTTAAATTTCAGTCTGATTATCTAACAAGATGTAACCTATAGTGCGATTAGTCGTTCATTTAAGCTTTAGATTCTTCTTTTGTGCATATTCAATACTTATACATGGAGCTGATCAATCCATATATATTTTGTGTTGTTGTTAACATGCTAGGGGTACCGGCTGAGAGCAATAAAACTAAAACCAGTGGTTTTCGGATCTTGAAAAGCGGATGTTTGAGGATGGTCGTAGCGAGGTATAATAATGGTAAAGAATAGAAATAGTTTTAGTGTTCTGTGGAGCTGAAGGCAAGGTTTATGCTGTATTGACGAAAGTGTTTAAAAGGTTTAAAGCTAACAAATTAAATATTGCTCAACGTGAGGTCCACTCACACATTTCCAGTAGGGTCTGACGAGAACAAAGTATTATGGCTTGTAATGGAGAACTGTTTTAAATATTTAGTAAATAACGAAACTAATAAGCGTGCTGCTTGGGCGTTTGTTGCTAAATTCCTGGACGCTACTTATAACCATAGACTCCTTCTGTACGTGAACTCAGGCAGTAAAAAAGCGTGTGAGGTACGATTAATAGCTTTTTTCCAAAGACCCCTTTATGTACATAAGACAAGCTTATTTACGAGTTTGTTGATAACTGTTAAATTTTGGAAACTTTTGGAATCATGGAAAACTAATTAGCATAGAACGTACTAATCCAATCAAAGTTCGACACAGTGTGTCTATATTCTAGAAGTGTTCGTGGTGTATCCTAATCGGAAAAACTTCACAACTTTTGTAAGGCTTGTCGGTTGGGCGACTCGTTCTCAACCGTTGTGGTGTATATTAATTACATAAAATGTAAGTTTTCTACCGATTTCTGAAATTGTTATTGAGGAATTCTTGTGGGATCCGAACGGAAACTACTGCAAACAAAATCATATCGGTGATTCACTTTTAAACTAGACAAGTAGAATTTTTGACCGAGTACCTAGGAGCCGTTCGTCTACACTTGTTTTGGTTGGGCTATCCCTAGCTTTCTTCCAGCCTAGACAGCATTTTATCTCAGAACTGCCTCCTAATCGTTATTTCCACCATGTATTTTCGACTCCGATATATCGTCACGTTAACGGTGTACTTAAGCAGGTTAATTCTCCTAGTATTACTATGAATTTACTCCAGAATATTTAGGAACTCAGAATATCATTAATAGAAGTTAGTGTATATTTTTTAACGAGCAGTAGAGTGCACAAGACACACGAGTATCTAGCACATTGGAGAGAGTAACCTTTCTATAATAATAGTAATAATCACAATTTTTGGCGATATCTCAATGAGTGGAAATTTGTGTTGCTGACGTTTCATGTGTTAACGCAAGTCACCTCTTTCTACCGTATTTATGTATCGTACTGTTCGTACCGCTAACTCTACACTCCTTTTTCATCTTGTTTGTAGAGTTATCGGAACATATTATACTGGTCGTTTAGCGGAATTAGAATATACTCATATGAATAAAGTAAATGATTATTGGCTCAGTCGAATGAAAGAAGGTCGATTATGTAATATTCCTGTTTGTCTATCAGACATCATCCGTGGGCCAGCACTAGAAGCTACTTCATGGCCAAATATAAAATCTGTAAGTTTAATCAATCATTTGTGATGATTAAAAAAATGTTATTCATTGAAATGTGCTAACAGTGTGATATAACTTTTTGAGTTCTTTTTTCTGAGCAAGCAACATAACAGTTCAAATTTGTCAACTTGTATTTTGGAAATACAAAATTATCGATTTATAACTCACTTGCTAAATATTTGATATGCTTGAACTATTACGAGTCCACCTTACTCGGTAAACAAAGCGATGACAAATGATGCAGTGACATGATAGGCTATTCTAATCCATTGTCCTCGGCCCGGCTAACTATATCAAGAAGTCTTGATAAGGCGTAGAAAGCGTATTCTATAAGCACCCAGGAAATACGAGGTCGACAAGCACACAAATCGAGTTTGTTTATACATGATAGAAACGTCCTTGAGAGAGCCACAAAAATAGCGTACTAAAATAATGCATCAACCAATGACAGTCAAGGATTTTCCGAGTGGGAAATGTAAGCTGAAGGTCAACTAAGCAACTGATGCGCGAAAACATGAAAAACCCAAAATTAGGACCTTTATCAAGTGATTTTTGGTATCTAACGTCCCCCAACAATATTGCTTTCCGTTCCGTTGAGATGTCAAATTATTGCTTTAAGGATTACATCATACTTTTTCATAACCAAGTATATATTTAAGACAAGTCATGATATTTACTTGCAGTCTTTTCAAATCAACATGAAAAAACCATCAGGAGTGTATTGCAGAGTTCTGACAAACTTCTCCCTAATCATTAAGAAATTTATGTATTTATTATATATTTTTGAATATAATTAGTTTCTGTTTTCTTATTTGGAAATTTGATACTCTACACTACTGTACTACTATTTTTCACGTATGACATTCAATTATTCCGTTGGTTTATTTCAATTTTCCATTGTTGTTTATTAGGCAATAAGATTAAGACCATCAAAGAATGACATGCTGTTAATAGAAGATTCCAATACTGGAATTAATGATTGGCTTATTAATCCTCATACAACGGATTATTTAGTTGGCTCAGCTAGTCTTGCAGCGTTTTCCGGTAAGAATTCTTGTAGAAGAATGTTTGTTGGTGTTTCTTTTTTTTTAGCAAGAACATTATCATCGGTTTATAATTTATTTCCTATTTTAAAATTTTTGTATATTTGTGTATATAAATTAGGGACTATTAGGGACTATTCTCCAACTAGTTCAATAATTGGAATTGGCGTGGTCTTGATATTCTGTGAATGATATTATTGCGTGAAATGTATATTACATAGTTTTCTTATGATTCTCCTAAACCTATGCTTATGTCTGGTCATTGTGATACAGTTTAGAGCGAATTGATTCAAAGCAGGGAAAATTAGGATTTGAACTTAATCAGAAGCACAACGGTAGACAAATTATTGTTGGTTTTCGTTCAATTTTAAGTAAATTAAATGAGAAACTCATTTGAAACTCAGTAGCAAAGTAGATAACCCTATGTCGTTTGAAGCGATTGATTTATTTATGTGTATACACATAAACATTGGTACAAAGGAAGAGAGAGTGAACTATTGCGCCTCTCGTCCGTGCTGATCATTTCAGGGCGAATGACGCTAGTTTCGCCTACGTAACGACCGTGAACAGTGGTGGGTGGCGAAAGCAAAAGCGATGGAAAAGGCAGCGGCTATCGGCAACACTAGACAACTTTTCCGCCTTATTAAAGAAACCGGTATTAGGAACCCGAATGTGAGTGAGACTATCTCGGAAAAGGATGGTCTTATTATCCATTCTCAATCTAGGAGGCTGGACCGATGGGCAGAACACTTTAGGGATCAGTTCAACTGGCCTTCAGCCACACTTCGGTTGCCCACGATCACCAGTCATCCTGAATGGCAAATCGATTTAAGTCCTCCCAGTTTACATGAAGTTGAGAAAGCTATAGGAAATCTAAGGGGAGCTAGAGCGGCAGGTCATGATAGGCTTACCCCTGAGATGTTTAAGGATGGTGGTCCAGTTTTAACGGTTAGACTGACCGAGATCCTAGGTAGAATCTGGGAAATGGACGTAATCCGATCTGACTGGTCTCAGTCGCTAATTGTCCCAATCTACAAGAAAGGACAGAAGTCCTCTTGTGACAATCACAGGGGAATAAGTCTAACTAATATAGTTTCTAAATTGTTAGCCTCGATTATACTTAGACGTCTAACTAGAGCTCGTGAAGAGCAGACTCGAGAAAACCAGTCTGGTTTTCGACCTGCACGTGGTTGTATAGACCACATCTTCACATTACGACAGGTCCTGGAACACAGACACACATTTAGACGTCCGACAATAGTCGTGTTCCTGGACCTTAAAGCGACATTTGACTCATTGGATCGTGAGGTTCTGTGGCAGTGTCTGTCATTGAAAGGTGTACCAAAGAAGTACATTAACCTTATACAAGCACTCTACTCGAACACCACTGGTCGGGTGTGAGCATATGGCGAACTGTCACCGGAATTCTCTACATCAAGTGGTGTCCGTCAGGGCTGTCCACTCTCTCCGTTCTTGTTCAACTTTGTCGTAGACATCCTCTTAGAGTTAACATTAAGCTCGTCAGATTTTTCAGGGGTTGACCTTTTACCAGGAAAGTCGCTTACTGATCTAGAATATGCCGATGACATAGTTCTATTCGGTGAAGACGCTGACAAAATGCAGAGTCTTCTGACTACCATAAGCAACAATGCGAGCATGTTCGGGATGCGGTTTTCCCCCTCGAAATGCAAAATGTTGCTTCAAGACTGGGTTGCATTGGCACCTGAACTAGTGATAGGGAGTGAAGTAGTCGAGCGTGTTGATAACTTCACTTATCTTGGGAGTCTCATCAGTGCTGACGGTCTGGTGACTGACGAAATCTCAGCTCGGATACAGAAAGCTCGATTGGCCTTTGCCAACCTGCGTCACTTATGGCGTAAGCGTGATATCCGTTCGCTAACCAAAGGGCGGGTATACTGCGCAGCAGTTCGTTCCGTTCTCTTATATGGCTGTGAAACATGGCCGTTAAGAGTAGAAGATATTCGTAGGTTACTAGTATTCGATCATAGATGTTTAAGAAGCATTGCTCGTATATTGTGGGACAGCCGAGTAAGCAATGCTGTCGCTAGGAAACGAGTACTAGGTAAGGATGGCAGATCAATCGATGAAGTGGTGAAACTTCATCAGTTGAGGTGGTTGGGACATGTGTTACGTATGCCTAACCACCGACTGCCTCGACGAGCTATGTTTTGCGGTGTAGGAATAGGTTGGACGAAAGTTAGGGGCGGCCAGACCAAAACATGGCACAAATCCATGAAGTCTCTGACAAGTGGACTGAGCCATGTTGGTAGATGTAGACTACCTGGTTGGGGTCCGCGAGACGAAAGTCACCAATGGTTAGAGACCTTGAACGACATGGCTCAAAATCGTCTGCAATGGCGCAGGTGCATCCACTCTTTGAGCTCCCTCAAATCCTAATCTTCTGGATTAGCCAGCACCACTACCTTTGTCTTTCTAACCTTATCTCACTGAATCATATACTTTTTGAATAATATCTTCAAACCCTAGTCTTCTTTATTAACATTAATACCTCTACTATCTTTATCACTATGGGATTTGATTTGACATTTGCGTTTCTGTGCTAATAATGTGGTATGGCAACATGAACTTATGTACATACGTACGAAGTTCTACGTTGTAACTGACTGACTGACGCTAGTTTCGAGCCTCAATGTAAACATCAACTTTAGAATGCAGGTTTATCTCGCTGACCATCGTTGGTATTATTTCAATAAAGAGACAGTTTCGTTCCAATCGAATTCTATCAATAGCTTTGTTACTTTATTCTATCATCGCATGTATTTTCCAGTTTTAAAAAAAATATGTTTGAGGCTTTTAATTTTATAAAATGTTAAACATATATTATCAATCGTCTAAATGTGATTTAATTTACATGATACAAACTGTTTGGTGAATGTTTCAGTGAGAATCTTAAGAATAGATAAGTCAAGTAATGGATGAAATAAATTAATCATTAAACATGTATACATTAAAACCTTTTGCATTACGGGGTTGTGAAGATTGTCAAGTTACACATTTTTGAAACTATGAATCGATCAATGTTAGACCACCATTAGAAACCTGGAAGCACTGGACGGCCATTTCGTCCTGGTATGGGACTCCTCAGCAGTGCGCATCCACGACTCCCGCAGGATTCGAACCTAGGACCTTTGGTATCGCGCGCGAACGCCCTAACCGTTAGACCACTGAGCCGGTATCTAACGGTGTTTCATACCAGGACGAAACGGCCGTCCAGTGCTTCCAGGTTTCTAATGGTGGTCTAACATTGATCGATTCATGGTTTCAAAAATTAAAACCTTTTATCTCCCCTTAGAATATCTCCATCACTTCTAGACTTATAAGTGTTTACTTTTTAAATAATTATTCATCATAGAGTTATGGAGATTATTAAGTTTTAAATTATGAATCGATTATTGTCAGAAACGTGGAAGGAATGGATGGCCATTTCGTCCCACTATGGGACTCACCAACAGTGCTTATCCACGACACTGAAGCTCCTCGGTTCGATTCCCACGGACAGGAATAAATTTCTTATGAATTCAAAGTAGCCCGATTTATTTACGTAGTTTTAAGCCGACAATGTAATCGTTTTCATTTTTGATTCATTTTTAAAAAATGGATTTTGTTCTAAATGAAAATGCTATATTTTCATTTAAAAAATCTAATAAATTCTTCCTGTTTTTTTTCAAATTGAAAATACAATCATTTTTATTTTTAGCTTATCTTATGCTTCATAGAGTTGATCTATTCACTAACTCATCGTTACGTCTTATTTCCAAGGGTTGCGTTTACATGAACAATCATGCGAATGGTAATTATGTTCTTATTTTCTCTTGCATAAAAATATAGACTTGATATTTATTATTATGTACTATGATTACTTATATTTGTTTAGATTATATTTGTTATTTATCAGAAATGAGTTATTTATAGAATCATTAGTATTTTTTTTTCAAGAAAATTCTTTGATATATATTTATCTAACTTGACTACTTTACAAATTTTATGGTTGACCGATCGAATTCCATTGAACAATCAAGTATGAATCCAATTATTTGCGAAATGTCTAATGTATATTTTAAATTACTAGTCGATAAATAAGTATGCTATTTCCACCGCAGAGAAATATATCTATTCATTTGACGAATATGCTTATATTTAGTCATATTTCATTTAAGAATTTGTGTTAGTGATGTAATATTGTGAGTAATTATCGTTCAGACAAATTGTAGATCACTAATTCATTGATTTATTTTAAAAGTACTCAAACTGTGAATGATTCATCAATTCTACGTTTACTGATTTCTGGATATGTGAAATGAAACTTTTATTCATATGTAAAATACATCCAAGTTATACATTTACGTAAAACTGTACTGGTTCACTGTCAAGTCAGTAGTATTGGCTTCGTTTTTATCGAATACTAGGATAATGAATTATTACTGATATCAAGGCTTTCAGGGACACAGATAATTATATCTTCAGTTTAGAACAGGGTTTCAGGAGACCAGGAATAGATAAACAGATGAAGTAGTGAAACTTCATCAGTTGAGGTGGTTGGGACATGTGTTACTAATGTCCAACCACCGAATGCCTCGAGTACCTATGTTTCGCGATATAGGAATAGGTTGGACGAAAGCTAGGAGCGGCCAAACCAAAACATGGCAGAAATCCATGAAGTCACTGACTAGTGAGTGGACTGAGTCATGTTGGTAGATGTAGGTTTCTTGGTTGGGGTCCGCGAGACAAAAGTCACCAATGTTTGGAGACCTTGACCGACATGCCTCAAAATCGATTGCAATGGCGTAGGTGCATTCATTCATTGTATACTCTCAAATTCTAAACTGAATTCGTCACCACCTCTGCATTTCTATTTCTAAAGTTATCTCACTGAATTATACTTCTCGAATCATGTCTTCGAACCCTATTCTTCTCCATTATCAGTGATTTGAACTGACAGTTGTTTATCTGTGCTGATGCAGTATGGCAACCTGAACTTATGTAGTCATGTACGAAGTTCTACGTTGTAACTAACTGACTGACTGATATATTCAGTTTATATATTTAAATAACTAAGTTCTCAACTAACTCCGCCAGTAGAGCTTTCGGGTCTACTGCCGGTCCCAAGCCCGGGTAAAGGAGGAGGGTTGGACATGGGGTTGGCGACCCCATTCCGTCAAAAACTAATTTGCCAAAAAAACGCTAACCAGAAAAAATAATTCAAACCATTTTAACTCTGCCCTGGTAGTTGGAAGAAGAATTATGACGTCGCGTGATGAAAGCCGAGTTCCCTCGGAAGTCACGGGGCTGATGCCTCTTCTGACAACCAGAGCAACCATTTTTTTAGGTACATGGAACGTTCGTACATTGTGGGAGACTGGAAGACTATTTCAAGTTGCTGCAGAAATGAAAAGATACAACCTCGAGGTGTTTGGAATCAGTGAAACGCATTGGACACAGGTAGGACAACTGAGACTAGCTTCAGGGAAACTGCTGTTATACTCTGGTCATGAAGAGGAAAATGCTTCGCATACACAAGGAGTTGCACTGATGCTGTCTGAACATGCACTAGAGGCACTGATAGGATGGGAATCTGATAGACCAAGGATCATTAAAGCATTATTCAAAACAAAGAAAGCGGACATTACAATGAACGTCATCCAATGTTATGCACCTACCAATGACTACAATGACGACGTTAAAGATTGATTCTATGAGAGGCTGCAGTCAATCGTCGATAAATGTTCACCAACGGATTTGACGATTCTGATAGTAGACCTAAATGCCAAGGTTGGAATGGACAACACTGGATATGAAGAAATCATGGGACGACATGGACTGGGAAAAAGGAACGAAAACAGTGAGAGATTTGCAAACCTATGTGCCTTCAACAAACTGGTCATCGGTGGCACAATATTCCCGCACAGACGCATTCACGAAGCCACATGGATTTCACCGGACCACACTACTCAAAACCAAATTGACCATATCTGTATCAACAAAACGTTCAGAAGAACCATGGAGGATGTGAAAATCAAGAGAGGAGCTGATATAGCCTCAGATCAACACTTGCTGATCGCCACAATGAAAATGAAACTAACGAAGCACTGGACAACGGGGCAGACAACATCGCAGAAGTTTAATACGGCCTTTCTTCGGGATACTGTAAAGCTCAACGAATTCAGGATAGCCCTCACCAATTGGTTCCAGGCCTTTCAGGATCTACTCAATGGAGAGGACGCAACCTTGGAGAACAATTGGAAAAGGATTAAGGAGGCAATCACTTCAACATGTAACGAAGTTCTGGGTCACAGGAAGTACCATCACAAAGAATGGATCTCTGTTGATACTCTTGCAAAAATCGAAGAAAGGAGGAACAAGAAGGCAGCAGTGAATGTCAGCCGAACAAGAGCAGAGAAAGTTACCGCACAAGCTGCATACACAGAAGCAAACTGGGAAGTGAAGAAGAGCATCAGAGCTGACAAACGAAAATATGTGGAAGATCTAGCAATGACGGCGGAAAAGGCTGCAAGAGACGGAAATTTGAGGCAATTGTACGAAACAATAAAGAAGCTGGCCGGTAACTATCGTAAACCAGAACGACCAGTGAAAAACAAGGAAGGCAAAGTAAACAGCCAAAAAGGTGGGTAGAGCAGCAGCCTCTGCAGCAGTAGGTCTCAAAATACATAAAGGAAAAAGGAAAATTTTCTGATGCAACACAACATGCACCAACCAAATCACTCTTGATGGAGATGCCTTGGAGGACGTTACAACCTTTACATACCTAGGCAGCATCATCGACGAGAAAGGTGGATCCGATGCAGATGTGAGGGCGCGGATTGGAAAAGCAAGGGCTACATTTCTACAGTTGAAAAATATCTGGAAATCCAAACAAATATTAGTCAACACCAAAATCAGGGTTTTCAATACAAATGTGAAGACAGTTATACTCTGTGGGGCGGAAACTTGGAGAACTACCAAAGCCATCATCCAGAATATACAAGTGTTTATTAATAGTTGTCTACGCAAAATACTTCGGATTCGTTGGCCAGACACCACCAGCTACAACGAACTGTGGGAGAAAACAAACCAGATTCCAGTAGAGGAGGAAATCAGGAAGAAGCGTTGGAAGTGGATAGGACACACATTACGGAAAGCGCCTAACTGCGTCATGAGACAAGCCCTTGCATGACACTCTCAAGGCAAAAGGAAAAGAGAGAGGCCAAGGAACACACTTCGCCGAGAAATAGAGAAATATATGAGAGGAATGAACAAGAATTGGACAGAACTGGAAAGGGAAGCCCAAGACAGAGTTGGTTGGAGAAAACTGGTGGGCGGCCTATGCTCCATTGGAGGTAACAGGCGTAAGTAATTTCTTAACTCTCCTACTGTAATTCTCGTTGTTTTTTTCCTTTCTATGTATGTAGTAGTGTTGTTGGTAGTTAAAGTCTGTTTCAAAGATTGATATTTTTCGTTGTATATATAGCAAATATTTATTCTTTTTTTGAAACAGATATTTCTCCTAATTTATCCATCGATCAACCTCATTTCAAGTCACCTTTTCATCAATCCAAACAGGTTAGTGATCAGATATAAGGTGAACAGCTCCATAATTTATCATCACTAGTAAAGTCAAATGCTTTGAAAAAAAAATTATCTGATTGTTAAATTATTTTAAGCGTGAAAAATATATATATATATATATATATATATATATATATATATAATGTCATTATCTCTTATGAAATCATTTTATCAAAAATACTACATTTGAATCTAGATATCACTTTGTTAGTGAAAGAAGTTTATTTATAATCCAGTGATTTTTCTGTGTCACTCTTATACTTTATTGATGATCAAACGTCAAAAATCATAGAAGAATGATAAATGGTTCCTGGGTTTACTTTATACTGAACAAATCATCGTTTAAAATTGTGAATCGCATGAAGTTGGACATCAACACTGTTGAATGCCGGTTCCACATTTTATTAGTTAGGTATTCACTCACGTGACCAAAGATCGTACGATCGATTCTTAGTTGGGAGGCCGTGAATGATGTTAAGAGATGATTCATACAATATCTTTACAAACTAATATCTTTAGTATACACTTTATATACAACTAGTCACAACTTTCTTTTAGGGGTATGTTAATGAAATTCTAGTAATCAACATTGTAGAAATTATTCTAAATATTTGCTAATAGATTTGATTTTCTCACTTCTATTTCTTTACTTATATAAATCGGTATTAAGTACATTAATTTACAAGATACTTTTTCAAGTATTGATTTGGTGTTCGTTTTTTTTTTATAAAAAAATCTTCATGATACAGATATCTGTTCTTGAACTTTCGAAAGATTGGAATCAATGTGAAGCTGGTTTTCACATTTTAGTTGAAGAATTATTTAAATTTTGGCAACATTATCAACCAGGCTGGTCATACAAGTAACATGTTTGATTGACTAGTTATTTTTCATTATTTTTAAATATATTTATATTTATACATCAACTTCATTGGCTACGAGAAAGCATTTGATAGAGTGGACAAGACAACATTATGGAAGCTTCTTCATCACTAAGGCGTACCTGAGAAGATAGTCAACATCATTGGAAATTCTTACGATGGATTAAGCTGCATGGAGGACAGCTAACAGATTCGTTTGAGGTGAAGGTTGGTGTCAGGCAGGGTTGCTTACTTTCACCACTTCTCTTTCTCCTGGTAATCAACTGGATTATGAAGACGTCAACATCTGGGGGGAAGCACGGGATACAGTGGACAAGCAGGATGCAGCTGGACGATCTGGACTTCGCAGCTGATCTGACTTTTCTATCGCATACGCAACAACTAATGCAAGAGAAAACGACCAGTGTAGCGGCAGCATCAGTAGATCTCAACATACATAAAGGGAAAAGCAAGATTCTCCGATACAACACAACATGCGCCAATCCAGTCACTTGATGGGGATGTCTAGGAGGACCTTAAAACCTTCTTGGCCTTTCTCTATTTCTTTTACCGTGTGGGTCCCAAGTAAGGGCTTGTTCTGTGACGCAGTTTGGTTCTTTCCGCAGCGTGTGTCCTATCCACTTCCCCCAGTTCTTCTTGATTTCCTCCTCCGCTGGAATCTGGTTTGTGTTATTAAAGAAAAAAAATCATTACAACTATGATGGATTTCTCTTTCAGACGACCACTTAAGATAGAAATACACATACTTATACACTATTTACTAACATTTATGTTATTAAGTATTTTAATCATATATCAATACTTTCTTGTTTTTCAAAAAAATTTATTTAGCCATTCATATCACTTTTACAAATTGATTTGCATATAAGTTTTTCATACTTAAGTAAAACAAAAAACTTTTTTTTTCATCCTGCTATTACTTTCTTATTAAATTAACTTCTAAATCTAATGTAATGATAAATATTCAGTGTAATATATATTATTTGTCCATGTTTATGCATACTGAGGTCGATTTATGTTAACTAGATGCAATTAATTGAACTGCTTATTATTACTATTATTGTTATTACTATTATTGTTATTATTATTACTACTATTATGAATAACAACTGAAGCAGTTGTCATTCATATACTTCAATAAATGTATTATATGTATGTAGATATTGTCTAAAAGAACTGTTATTAAATGTCTACTAATTTGTCAATCATTAAATTAATTAGTAGAAATAATAAGTGAATTGTTAGTCTATTCTTTCTTAAATAACAAATTAATTATAACTGATATTTATTTAGCATTATTATTATTATTATTATTATTATCTTTGTTTCTTTTGACAAGTTGATATCAACCTATCAGATAAATATATATATATATATATATATATATATATATATATATATATATATATCTGTATACTATGCTACAGGTAATAATAATGAATAAGTGTATTGTAAAATGAAACTATTGTTTATGTTCTATATGATGTTGATAATTCAATGGGCTTAGTTTACCAATCATCAGTCAATCAACAACAACAACAACGTAGAACTTGGTACGCATGTACGTACATAGATCAGTTCAAGTTGCTATGCCACATTAACATAGAGATATAATCGTCAATTTGAATCTCATAGTAGTAGAGGTATCAAAGGTATTAGCAGTAATCGGAAAGATTAGGGTTCGAAGATATCATTCGAGAAGTAGAATCTAGTGAATTGAACTTAAAAAGAAAAAGATAAAGTGATGAGGAATTCAGAAGTTTGGGATTTGAGAGAACACAAAGAATGAATGCACCTGCACCATTGCAAACGATTTTGAGCCATGTCGTTCAAGGTCTCTAACCATTGGTAACTTTCGTCTCGGGGACCCCAACCAGGTAGTTAACACCTACTAAAATGACTCAGTCCACTTATCAGTGACTTCATGGATTTGTACCATGTTTTGGTCTGGCCGCTCTGGAGACCAGGAATAATATTTCGTAAGTTCAAACCGTTTGCTTCGGCGTCGCCGAGCTCATAAACGATCAATGGAAGGGTTGGTCAAAGAAATAAAAGAGTTCTAAATGAAGACCTAACTCATTTTTTAAAAATTAGTTTACCTGTCTCTTTTTAAGCTGAACTAATTTCTTTTTTTTCCTTTCAGGATGATTTATACTGAAGCTTCTAATTTATATGCTTGTGAAATGTTACGAGCCGTTGTATATACCGATATGAGAACACTAGCTGATGTCCCAATTTCAATTCCTGTAAGATAGTCTTTTTTTCATTAAATATTTGTGAATGTCTTATGCTTACAAGTCAAGAAATTCTCTTCTTCATGATTACTTAAGTAAGAAATAATTTGACTGAAATGAGAATTTTTTTTAGATGATTTGATTTCTCATCATTTATTTGTCGCCATTGAATGATCCATGAATCTATTGGTGTTTTTTTTAAAATCCAAATTTTCATTTGTCAATCTTATCTTAAAAAAAAATCAATAATATTTTTAATCGATTAATAAAGACTAAGTTGTGCAGTGTATATTAAATTAAATTAAATGTAATAACTAGAGGTTTACTGGTTAAAGTTAATTTTATCACCTGAATGCTCATGACAGAATTCACTTTGATCTGTAAAATGTTTTAGATTAAAACCACATTCATGTCTAAAACAATTGTTAAGTTTTATGACAATTTGTACAAGTTACTATTGAGTAGTATGTGTATAAATGATGCAACTAATTCGATTTTTTTTCAGGATTATGTGTTATAATAATAGTAGTGGAAGTAAATAGTCGATTGTGATATTTTTTTATGGTTTATACATTTTTTTTATGTTGATTTTTTAAATAAAATTATGTAGCCTTTTTTTTTTAAAATTTATTTATCTACAACTTGAGACATTTATAGAATTGATTTGTTTGACATGAAAATTAATTCAAAATACAACTCTCATCAAAATAAAACAATTATTTTGTGAAAATAAATATATATTTAAGATTAATTTATCTTACCATTGATTTCATCTAATTTCCTCATTTCATCATGTAAATATCCATCTGTTCTTGATTTTCTGTTATAAAATAAAATTTTTTTTCTTGTATAGATCTTGTATATTTGAATATTATCTCTGCATGTTGACAAAAGTACTGTTGATATTTTATCAGTCAATATATTAATCTGTGAATTTACCATCTGTATTGTAATCAGATTTATATATACGTCTAGATATACGCATACATTGAACTAAACATGATTTTCCTTGCTATTCTGCTCTGTTGTTATCATATACTACTAATATACATTATTGTCATCTAAATACTGTACACCTTACGCTGAATAATACCTTAGTAGTGTTCAATTCCGAATGATTTGGAATATTTTGTTGTTGATATTTTTGACTGGTGAATGACTGTGTAAGTGGTTTAGTGAACTTAGCAGCTAAATGGATTGTTTGATGATGTTCAAGTCTCACTGTGAACATCTATTCCAGTTGAATAGGTCGAAACGCGCGTCTCAAATTCAACTGCTGGCCACATTCTGACTATTCTAATATCATATCACTCTTTTGTGTCTCTCTACATTACATCACATGAGATGAGTTATGGCGTTGTGTTGTTACTGACGGCTTTTTTAGTTCTCCAAGTTTCCGTTCCTTACAATATAACTGCTTTAACGTTCGTATTGAAAATTCTTTGGTTGTTATGAGGCGATTGTTTTGTGTTGTAGAAGTTCTTCAATTGTAGTAATGCTGGCCTTGTTCGTTTATCCATCCATTCATATCTGCGTCAAATCCACCTTGTTTACCAGATATGTAAACGTTTTTACATCTTCCTAGGCTTCTCCGTCAAGTGTGATTGGGTTGGTGCATGTTGTGTTGCAAAGAAAGATGTTGCTTCTTCCTTGTGTATGTTGATACCTACTACTATAGAAGTTACTGCAACACTGTCCGTCTTCTCCTGCACTTTTTGTTGTATGTGGGATAGAACAGCTAGGCGATCTGAGAAGTCCAAATCATCTGGCTGCACTCAAGCTGTCGATTGTATCCCCCGCTTCCCCCCTGAGATGTTGAGTTCTTCACAGTCCGGTCAGTCACTATGAGAAAGAGAAAGGTTGAGAGTACACAACCTTCTCTGACGCTGGTCTCCACTTCGAACGAGTTTGTCAGTTGTCCTCTGTGCATGATTTGGCAGTTTTATCCATCATAAGAGTTCCGTATGATGTTGACTTTCTTTTTAGGCACGTCTTGGTGTCGAGGAATCTTCCATAGTGTTTTCGTTTCTATACCCTCAAGTGCTTTCTCATAGTCAGTGAATTTGATGTAGAGTGGTGAATTGCATTCAACTGATTGTTCCACAATGATCTGTAATTTTGCAATTTGGTCGGCTAGAAACAATTAGTGATTGGCATTTCGAAGTAAAGATTTCAGGAGTCAACATCGTATTAACGTTCTTTCAGTGCTTAGCTTAACGTCAAGCATCACGACTCTCGAAATGTATACTATTTTGTGTCTTGTGAACCAATAGCTCATAAATCTTTTGTTTATCTGCCTGATTAGTTTGTGCGTTTAATAGACACAATTAACGTGTCAAAATAAACAAAAAAAAGGTGACTTTTTAATAATATTTAGATATTGAGAAACAAATAGCTCAAATATTCAAACAGGCTGCCAATCGCTAGCTGGATACTAACCACATTCTAACTGTTTTAAGTAGGTCGTTCAGTTTGTTTTTTTTTTCTACAATCTAGTACTTCATAATTTACCATCAATGAAAAGTAAATGATATTGTAGTAAGAGAATAAAGTATCATATGAAATCACACTTAATAATGGTGAATTTTTTGCAGGTTTTCTATGCATATAAGATGCATGTAATTTTTCACTTATCATTATTGTAAAACGATATCGGCATAGATTATTCGAATATTTTATTTTTTTTTTCTACTAGGGCGTCGATTGTTGAGGTGTTTATCAATTTCAGTCTATACTTTTATTTGAATGAAAATAGGCATATGAAGATATATATATATATATATGTGTGTGTGTGTGTGCATGTGTGTAGATAATCCGAATAATCGATTATTGCCTACAACTGTTTACTTTGCATTATTTTTTTTGCATGACTATTCATTGAATTGATCCATTAAATGTAACTTTGTTTTCTTTTTTTTTTCTCCCGAATTTTCTAGCTTGCATCAGTTTCTTTATTGGGCGATTGGATTTCAAGACGTATTACAACTAAACTTAAGAAAACCAATAATAATAATAATAGTAGTAATAATATTAATAATGCAAATGACGAATCTTATCCTTATATGGTAAAAAAAAATGACGATAATAATAATAACACTAGTGTTTTTTTTTGTATTTTATTATGCGTATTACTATGTAATTCGTTTGTTTTCCAAGCGTTTATTATGAGTTTCAGGCTAATTTGTTGTTCTTATTTTAAAGTGTGTGTGTGTGTTATTCACTACTAGTTACGATTTCTAAATACTGTGTTCTTATGAAATTTGCCATTAGCATACATTGTTCATAGTTATGAAGATTATTTATTGATGCACATATACATTGATCCAAATATATATATATATATATATATATATATATGCAGCACACAAATTTTTGAATGTGTGAGCAGGCTAAGATACTGTCCAGATATCCAAATCAAAGCAGGTACTTGACTTAGGGGACAATTCCACAGGCTTTTAACCCAAATGTTTGATTCAGTGTCAGTGGAACAATGTTAAAAGATACAATCTCATGGTAGCCGGTGACCAACAATAGGTTCATATACTAATTGTTCCCTTGCGATTGTGGAACAGATCTCATATTTATGCACATACAAAATGGATTTTCTCAAGTCATAGATCTTAACGCAGTAAACTATATTTAAAAATGCCTTATGTTCGTTTATGTTTCCATTGTGAAGAACATTTAGACAATTGAAATTCTCTCAAATCAATTATTTTAATGATTGTTAGAAAAATGATTACTCACAATTTACATATTTGTTTTCAATATTATTGTTAATACTGCATTGCAGATTAACAATAATTCGTCAATGTAATATGAAACCGTTGTTTTAGACTAATAATAAATTACTAAAGTTAATAATGAAACGACAGCTGACTTACAATTTCTAGGTTGAAGAAATGATTCTTGAGCAAAAATGATACTTTATGAATTTCATTTACTTACGACCATAGTTATTAGACATTCTGTATACTTAATTTAGAGCAATCATAAAAGTGTACTTTTTTCTATGTCATATAGGAGAGTGAATTGAAAATGTTAATTTTTAAACTAGACAGTTCCTCATAGTCAAATGTACAAATAAATTGAATAAATATCCTTAGAAAAATTTTAGAATATATTATTTGTTTGTCAGTCAGTCTTTTACAACGTAGAACTTGGTACGTAAGTACATCAGTCCAAGTTGCCATACCACATTAGCACAGAGATATAATTGTCAATTTAAATCGTATAGTAGTAGAGGTAGTAAAAGTATTCGAAGTAATCGGAGAGATTAGGTTTCGAAGATTTTATTCAAGAAGTATAATCCAGTGAGGTAAGTTTAGAAAGCGAAAGATAAGTGATGATGAATTCAGAAGGTTAAGACTTAAGAGAACACAAATAATGAATGCACCTACGCCATCGCAAACAGTTTTTAGCCATGTCATTCAGGGTCTCTAACCATCGATTATTATCATCTCGTGGACCCCAAACAGGTAGTCGACAATTACCGACATGGCTAGGTCCACTTGTCAGTGACTTCATGGATTTCTGCCATGATTTGGTTTGGCCGCCCCTAACTTTCTTCCAACCTATTCCTACACTACAAATTAAAGCTCGACGAGGCAGTCGGTGGTTAGGCATACGCAACACATGTCCCAACCACCTCAACTGATGAAATTTCTGTACTTCATCTATTGATCTGCCATTCTTGCCTAGCACCCGTTTCCTAACAACAGCATTGCTTACTCCGCTGTCCCACGATACTTGAGCGATGCTTCGAAGACACCTATGATCGAAAACCAGTAACCTACGGCCATGTTTCACAGCCGTAAAGTAAGACGGAGCAAACTACTGCGCAGTACACTCGTCCTTTAGTTAGCAAACAGATATCTCGCCTTCGCCAGAAGTGACGAAATTTGGCCAAAGCCAATCAAACTTTCTGTATCCGTACTTTGTTTTAGACATTAATTTAGTATAGATTGCTAGGATAGCTGTCACAAAATTGATATGACTCATACATAAATGAAGGAATGAAAAGAAACGCCAATTATATATATATATTCCTGTACATCTTTGTATTTGTGTTCTTTCAAATTCTAACCTTCTGAATTCCTCAGCATCTCTATCTTTCTCTTCCTAAACTTATCTCACTGGATTATACTTCTCGAATCATATCTTCGAACCCTAATCTTCATTGCTGCCAATACTTTTACTATCGCTACCACTATGTGATTTGAACTGACAATTGCGTCTCTCCGCTAATGCGGTATGGCAATCTGAACTGATGTACGTACGTACGAAGTTCTACCTTGTGACTAACTGACTGACTGACTTTATGTTTTATTCCAACTACAGTGTTAGCAAAGTGTGGGTATATTGCATTCCCTAGTTTTCAAACTCCACAACTTATCGAATTGTTAAGCATAATTGACAAATAGTTCACTGTAAAGTAATTTTCTATCATTTCTCTTTTGTTAGATTTATTATTTTAATTTTTATCAGTGAATGTTTGTTGCATAACTTTGTTTTTCCATTTTGTTCATTTAGGTATTTATGAATGCATGGAACTTTCAATGTTTAATAGATTCCTGTAAACAAATTGGCTATTTAGATGAATATTCATCAGCAAATATTGATTAAATTAACTTTTGATTGTAATTTTTATCAGATAATTAATTTTTTTTTCGTTTCAAATGTGAACTAATTGTACATGTTCACATTCTTTGTGTACAATATTCTCGATGGTATTAACTTTCTTTTGTAAATCTGTAGTATTTGAAATAAACCTCTACTTTTCACAATATCTCACTTTCTGTAAAAAAAAATAATAATTAGTGTAGATTAATTCGATTAACTGTATGTTTTATGTTTTAGAATTAACGTTCATTTGTTGTGGAAAGACGGGTAGATAACATATACTGTACTATTTCTGGTAGTAGTAGTAGTAGTAGTTGTTGTTGTTGTAATCAAATAGATTACTGTCAGTAACAGCTGTGCTTAAATCAGGCTAGATGCAGATCACTTTGATCTACATAAATGTTTACCAATAAACTTATCGGTGTAAATTTGCGAAAACTGTTTATTTTTTATTTACCATTCTGTTCTTATTGTCACGGTACAACTACATCGAAACTTGATTAATAGATTAAACATTAATTGTTGAACTAGGTCATATCAATAAAAAAATTTTTAATGCTAATTTATTATCAGGAGGCGGTAATCAATGAAAGGAACCATGATAACTTGAAGCAATTAGTTACTTTAATCTATTTCAGTAAAATATTAGAAAAGTGATTTATCTCGTTTGTTCAAATGATTAACATTTAAACCACAGAAACCACATTACCGAATGTCGTCAAACCACTGGTTGTAATCATAAAGCGGACTTTAACTAGTTAGTCTACACTTTCTACGAAACCCAAATTACCAGTTTGTAACTCTATGGACTGATGCATACTTTTACATAACCAGCCATATACTCTGAGGTCTAGTTGTGCTTGAGCAACGTTTTAGCCTGATCAATAAGTACAAATTCAGAATCTCTGATCAACCGATTCCCAGAAATGTTGAATGCAGCTTTCATGCTGATATGCTCGTCAATTGATAGGCTTGGATGCTATTATGGTAAACGGAACGAAAGCAATAATATACGATAGGCTATTCTATTCTGTTTGTTGCCGGCCCGACTAACTATATCAAGAAGTCTTGATAAGGAGTAGAAAGCATATTCTACAAGCACCCAGAAAATACGAGGTCGACAAGCACAAAAATCGACCTTATTTAAACATGATAGAATCGTCTTTGGGAGAGCCACAAGAATAGCGTACTAAAAGAATCCATCAAACAATGATAGTCAAGGATTTTCCGAGTAGGAAACGTGAGCTGAAGGTCAACTGGCGCGAAGACATGGAAATTGGAATTTTCAGAATGAAATTACAAAATAAGGGCCTTTTCTAAGTGAGTTCTGGGGATCAACCGTCCCCCAACACATACCTAGTGTTTTAGTTTTAGCCTATGTAAGAAAGTAACTAAATTGTAAATTATGTACATAAAAATGATACAGTACTATATTCACAGTTTGTTGGTGCCTAGTAGTTTTTCACTGTAGACAAATTTAAGTCTTGAACATTTTAGTATACTATTCGCAAGTATTCTTATACATCTAGGATACTGTTACATCACAGTCATACAATGATTATCGGATGCTGAGTGAACAAGTTAAATAACCATTGCTTGTTGGAAGATTAATTAACTTCAGTAGAACTGATAATAAAAGATTGTTTGCTGAAGATAATAAATTAGGGATAATAAATTACATTTCTAAAACATAATTTCTTACTACTGTCAGTACACACGTCTTCCTACTATCCACATGTACTTTTGCCTATTATATATCATTGCATTGTGATTATGACTCAAATCGCCTTGATTGGTTTAACATTTTCATATAAATATTCATGTATATTAGAGTAAAGCCTGATGACGAACTAATCGAAAACAGTATTGTTCGCTTATATGCCTTGTTATAATTTCTGCATACATCTTCTTTATACTCATTAATTTAACTACTAAATCACTGATTGCAAACACAGACTTGGACCGAAGACAAATAATACACAACTGAATAATGACCTTAGTAGATCAAATACATGATTATTAAATTCAAGTCTCCTTTTAGTTAGTTTTGATTGTCGAACAGCGAAAAAACCCTCCATTGAACTATCTATTCAACTTAGTATTGTGGACATTTTCTAATTTTTAGATGATTGTTAAGAAATGATATATGACATGAATCAAAGTCTCGTGACAAAATATTCATTATAGTGATGGTTGTATGCATCCTATAATATGACAGTCAGTCAGTTATAACGTGGAACTTCGTACATGAGTACATAAGTTCATGTTGGCATACTGCATCAGCACAGAGACGCAACTGACATTAAGGTATTTATGGTAATAGGAGGAACCTTTAGGTTTTGTTTCTCTTCCGAGTGAAATTTATATGAAATTTTTTGTAGTCACTCCGTTTGAATTAACAGTGTACCTGTTTTGTTAAGCTTTTTTTCGCATTTACTTGACGTAGGTTACAGTTTACATTGAGTAGAAAACACTTTTATAAAGTATTTAGATATAGATAGACTGATAGAATTTTTTCACGACGCCTTTCTGATTCCAGACAATGCCGCTATCGTTAAATAAACAATCATAAATTATAACATCCGATAAAGAAATATTTCCAAGACGTTTTTATGCATTGAATTTCTTTATCCACAGATAAATCATATCACTGAGGATAAAGCTTCTTAGAAAAATAACAACAATAACAGCAACAAAGTTTGTTTCTTTAAGTGATTTATTTTTTTGAATTGACCTAAATTATAAATTCGACCTTTTTCTATACTCTCATTCAACAATCTCTTAATTAATTACACTTCTTCTTATGCAATATGCAATCGAGTCCTGAAATAACGAACCGTACTTGTCTGATATTCTTTTTTACTGGTACTTTTACTATATCTTAATTTTGCTAGTCATCATAATGAAATGTATTTTTATTTGAAATTTCTTTGCGGCCTAACGTTTTTCCAATTCATTTTGTCCAATTAACGATGATGTCATTTGAAGAAAAAAACTAAATATACTTTTTCTCTTAAATATATATATATATATATCAACAATGTTGACTGTGGTAAGAGTAGTAGTAGTTATTAGATTAAGAGAAAAAAGAGAGCAAGAGATAAAGAAACGATATATATCATAAAGTAGTAATGTAACAAAATGTTTTTTTTTCTTTGTTTTTAACGGTCCAGTTAGCAGAATGTTATTTTTATCAATTCAACTGCATTCTTTTCATCTAAAAATATTGTCATTATTGCCTGGACATAAGAGTATTATTATGTGGTGGGTTTTGTCCAATCGAATCAATATATTTTAATTAGAACGTTGAGAAAAGGTATTCATTATGCTTGCTTGCAAAGTAACTAAATTGGTAGGAACTGACAAACTTTATCTTTGTGGTGGTGTTTCGTTCTGTGAGCTGGTTGTTTTGGTTGTGGAGCTTTCATTGTTCTTCTGAACAACATCATCAGCACAAACTTCAGATAGAACTTTATCTTGAATGTTAGTTTAAATAAATAAGTGAATGAATTGCGCTTCTAAAGTTCAAGAGATATGTCGATTTTTGGAGAAAAAAATCCGATTCATCCTCAATTATAAACTAATGATATAAACTTAGTTTTTGAATATAATTTCGTTCAGCTTGCTTTAGTATCCCAAAAATAGACTTTGCATGCAGAAAAAGCCATAGAAATTGGCATAAGTATACCTAGTCTTTGTGTACAGAAAGTGTTTTTACAGCCTTTTAATCTAACTTGACTTTCCCTTTTAATCACGCTAATATTTCTTGAAAGTTTCAATTTTCCGATTATCATTTCTGATTTTATACTGCCGTAATCTCTTCTAATTATCTAATTTACTGTAAACTTATGTTAATGGGATAACCTTTGTCGAATTTCAAATATAGCACCATGAGATTAGCACATAAGCGAACAATATTTTTTTCAATGAGATCGTATTCAAGCTTTACTTCCATTGTTGAACTGTTGACAAAAACTTTGTTATTGAAGTTATGTAGTCGGTTTCATTGTGATTATTGACTCATAGATTGCCTTGATTGGCTCAATAGGTTCATATAAATATTCATGTATACTGAAGTAAGGCGTAGTGACGATCTAAGTGAAAACAATATTGTTCGCCCATATGGTTTCTAATATTCACGATGGGAACCTTTAATAAATAACACTATATCATTACATCTAGTTGCTTACTTTTACACCTACTTAATCTCTATTTATGTTTTGGAGTAGGCGATCAACTATATTATACTGCTTAACTTTTAAGTTTATGGAGATTCATTTTTTTTTCGAAAAATCATTAGGATGTGTTGCTAGATTAGATCTATCGCCATTTACTAAGTATTATTTTCTATTTTATGCTCAACTGCAAAACTTTATTTTAGAAAATTGTTTAGAAATACTGTGTGAGCGAGCGCTTCTCAGGTGTTTGATTGCTGTAAATGGAAACAATTATTGTTCAACTTTATTCTTCATGATAAAGTTGGTTTTCATTAGGGATTGACATTCACTGGAGAGGTGAAGAAAAAAACACAGATCATTAGTTTTGTAGAGTAGGAAGTGTAATATATCGGGAATATTTAATTGTATTAAATAGTCTGATTAGAGCATTGGAAAGGAATTTTTCCAATTAATTCTTGATGTCCGGTTCGTACTAAAAAATAAGATAACATATAATCTGAATTATTCACGACCATGAAATTCAATATGTTTTTGAATGAAAGACTAATTCTACAACAATAAGAATAATATCATCATTATCCATCATACCGATTGTCTAGTACATATTTCATGCATTTTGATTCATTAGTTCTAACTGTAAAGCTAAGAAAACTTGTCAAAAATTCCTAATCACAATTAGTATCATTTATTGTTTTTTGTAATTATAATGTATCATTTAAAATAATTAGAGTTGATTTTTTTTTTTTATTTTCAAGCAAAATGTCTGATTAATAAATTTGTGAAAACAGAAAATATGTTTAATTGTCTAAACAAGAATTAGTTTAATTACTGTTTTATTTATTATTATATAATCTAGGCCTTTTTGATGTGTTTTTCCATATCATACACCTTTTTTTTTTATTTTCTCTTGTTAAGATATCTGTTGT